TAGCATATCTTAAATTTATATAAATATATACAATAATTTGTTATCTAAAATTAATAAGCATATATAAATGAACATTTAGTTGACAAAAAAACAATAAATAAACATTTAAAACATATGAGTATTATTAAAAATATATACCAATAATGATTAAACAAAAATATATATATGAAATTAAACACCCGCTCGGTTGAGCGGGTCAAAATCTAGTATTTATTTATTTTAACAAATCAGGACCTTAATTTATTAAAGATTCTTTTCCAGAAAAGGACCCTGCATATTTGCATCTTGAGTACACCCTAAAATGTAAACATGTTGATATATTCTAGAAAATGTTTTTGGGGTTAAAATATCTGTTTTTATGTTTTCTAAACCGAACTGTGAAAGTAGTAACAAGCGAGCAAAATTTACATAACTATTTCCTTGGAACACGAATGACAGTATCAGTAAAATTCTAAATATTTAGGTGATTAAAGAGTATTACCGAAAATATGATTTTTTACATGTTTTGTTTATGAATAAGAATTTGGAGAAAGATGGGAAAGATACATTATATATGTCGAAAGAGACTCTAGTAAAGGAAATCTTACAAGATGATATGATTGTATGATAAATCAAACTGCTAGACAAAATAAAAAGGAAACCTTAGTGTGATCATTAAGGTGTGAAGTGTAATTATTAAGGTGATAAACGTAAAACGTGAGTATTGAACTGTGAAGTGTAATTATTAGGAAGTCTTAAAAGAATGCTCTCTCTAAAATTAAAAAGAACGCTGTCTCATTTCTAGGGTTCCACCGCTGTTGCTCCTCGATTCCGGTGGTCTTCGCCGTGTCTCTATGGCGGCCGCCGGATTTTAATTTTATTTTTCGCTTTCGTCTTTTGTGTCCTCTTCGTTGTCTTATTCCATGCTTCTCTCTGCGGAATCTTGATGTACGGTAAAAGTCGTCAAATCCGGTACAGATTCAAAGTTGTCTCTGGTTTCTCAGTCAGATCTTGGAGGGTAAGGGCACTTGAAGACGTTGTAGGCTCCTCCAATGCTCTGTTTCTAATCGTTAGTAGCGCCTCTGTCCGGGAATAGGTTTTGTTCGCCTTGGTTGTGCGTTAGGTTAATGGGTAATGTGTGGTGTATGTAGAGACGTTGGTCCGTGCTAGTCGAGTTCTTCTGACTGGTGTCGTGGTGGTTGGACTCCACGGCAAGGGTTCGGTTCAGCTTCAGATGTCGCGGATCTGAAGCTTGGTCTCTCAACTTCTACAGGTGTGTTGATGTAGTGAGACCAGAAAATAAATAACAAAAGTTAAAAGATACAAGTTTCTCTTTTCGAATTTATTAGAACAAGAAAGTCTTACACCAATCTTTTATATTACAAGAATCCTTTAGGATTAGCCTAATCCTAAGCTAAAACTCACCCTAGAGTCTAGACTTTTGTTTATCAGGATCTTCTGAACCCCGAGCTAAACTCCCCCTGAGTCTAGGCTTCAATCTTCCACTTCTCAGAAGTACGTCAACAACTACGTTAGCACCTAACACAGAGTAGTGACACCAAAGGCTTGATCACACAAGCAACACAAAAAATGATCTCTCGACTTTTCTTCTTTTTAGCAGAGACACCTTTCTCCATGGAGGCACGTCCTCCTTGTATAGATACCTAAAACTTACTCCTCAAGTTCTTCCAAAAGAAACGTAAGCAACTTTCTTTTTTCTCGTAAGGAATAACTCTCTTTCCTTTTCCTTTTCATGTAATATCATTTTAAACTTAATGTAAATATTCTAATAAATATATTACCTCTTCTCCAAGCTTAACAAGCCCACAGACATCATAAAACACGAACTCCAACTTAGCTCATCTTCATGACACACACATGTACTACCTCCTGTAGTACTTCACGCACTGACACATAATATACATCTTCAATCTCCCCCTTCTTGACTATATATGTGAACTCATTACCTCTGGATAGAAAACCACGTCTTCAATCTCTCCCTATGAATCACATCATGGTCAAAAACTAATAAGAAGATGGATGTCCTCCAAAGTGAGGATGACATCCCATACCACATCTCCATAATGATCAAATCTCCTTGACCACGTATTCCTGAGCATAACTCCTCCATGATTAGCTCCTTGAACAGACCTGAAACAATCACGTAGAATATGCCCTTGAACTCCACAAGAATAACATATAGGACCATGACCCCTCATACCATAAACTTGCTCCATCTGACTCTTCTCCCTCAACAACTTGAAACACCTTGGCCTAATGTGCCCAACAACACCACAGTGATGACAAATAGGCCGAAACTTTCGTTCAGATGCCCTCTTAGGATCAGAAACATTAGCCGAAGCAGTCGCTGTAGCAGCACGTGTAGCAGTACTCGAAACAGTCGAATTCTTCATATCAATTACAGCCTTTAGTGCAGTCTTCCCATTTGTTGCATTCCCAGCAAATAACTTGACATTTGGCTTTGTAGCAGACGTAGCTACACCTTCAGTTTTTCTTGCTGATACAAAAACACCTTCAGCTTTAGAAGATTCACCTTTGAATCCAAGACCACATCGATCACTTTTTCCAATGCTAAGAAGATGATCCAACTGATCCGTCCCATTATTTAGCATCCTCAAACCCTTATGAATCTCTGAAAGTTGAGCACCAGCCTGTCGTGCTTCTTCTTCTTCTTTCTTTGAGGCATACTTAAGTGCTTTAGCCACTTGTGCTTCTAGCTTGACTTTCTCTTTAGTCAACTCTGAATTCGCCTCAACCATCTTGAGCCAACTCTCATACAGCTTCTCATAATTTCCAGCAAGATCAAAGCTTTCATCATCACCATCACTTTTAGCACCATAATCACTTTCACATGAAGATCCTGACACAGACACTGATGCAGATCCCATCGCAGATCTTGTCTTAGAACACGAATTAAAAGTTGTGAACGCCACCAAGTTCTTCAACTGATCACCATCATCTGAATCAGTATCAGATTCATCCTTCTTCTTGTTTTGCCTTTGCAAATTTGCACATTCCTTCTGAATATCCCCAAATCCAGTACAGTGATGGTATTTTACCTTTGATGATGATCTACTTGAATCACTTCTTCTTCCACTCTTTAATATATCTTCTCCTTGCTTCAGATATCCAACAAAATTTCTTACCAGCATTCTCATAGGATCTTCAGAAGTTGAACTTCAGAGAGCAATTCCAAAAGGATCTTCTTTCTTCCTATCTTTATCACGACTTTTATCTTGATCTCCATATGATTTGCTCAGCTCAAAAGCTTGAAGAATCCCAACAAACTCATCAAAAGCCATCTCATCCAGATTGTGAGATTATTCTACAGCAAAGATCTTTGACTCAAACTTGGATGGCAATGATCTCTTCAGCTTCTTCACCAGTTTCTTGTCCTTGTACTGCTTTCCAAGTGCAAAACATTCATTCGAAATGTCACACAACTTAGCACTAAACTGAGCCATAGTTTCCTCAGATTCTCAAACTTTGATGCTAACATATCCAGCTTGGTACGCTTGACACTTGTAGTACCTTCAAACATATTCTCCAATGTCTTCCATGCCTTCTGAGCTGAAGTACATTGAGAAATCAACTTAAAATAACTTGCATCAATAGCATTTTAAATTGCAGTTTAGCCTTAGAGTTGCAACTTGAAGTCTTCTTCTCTGCAGCAGTCCACTGATCTCTTAGCTTCAAAACTTCAACCTTCTCATCATTAAGCATCACCGGATGATTCCAACCATCCTCAATTGAACTCCAACAGTCTTCATCAATACCACTGATAAAGACTTGTATCCATACCTTCCAATATCCATAATTGGATGAATCAAGACGTGGGGGCATTGTCATAGACGTTCCCTCTTGATACGCCGCCATAAAAAACTTTGTCCTTCATCCTGAACCAGTTTCTGTCCTCACCCTTCAAGATCTCACCAGTAACTTAGGTGACCCGTTCTGATACCACTTGTTGATGTAGTGAGACCAGAAAATAAATAGTAGAAAGTAAAAGACACAAGTTTCTCTATTTGAATTCACTAGAACAAGAAAGTCTTACACCAATCTTTTCTATTACAAGAATCCTTTAGGATTAGCCCAATCCTAAGCTAAAACTCACCCTAGAGTCTAGACTTTTGTTTATCAGGATCCTCCAAACCCCGAGCTAAACTGCCCCTGAGTCTAGGCTTCAATCTTCTACTTCTCGAAAGTACGTCAACAACAACGTCAGCACCTAACGCAGAGCAGTGACACCAAAGGCTTGATCACACAAGCAACACAAAAAATGATCTCTCGACTTTTCTTCTTTTTAGCAGAGACACATTTCTCCATGGAGGCACATCCTCCTTGTATAGATACCTAGAACTTGCTCCTCAAGTTCTTCCAAAAGAAACTTAAGCAACTTTCTTTTTTCTCTTAAGGAATAACTCTCTTTCATTTTCCTTTTCATGTAATATCATTTACACTTAATGTAAATATTCCAATAAATATATTACATTTTCTCCAAGCTTAACAAGCCCACAAACATCACAAAACACGAACTGCAACTTAGTCCATCTTCATGACACACACATTTACTACCTCCTGTAGTACTTCAGCACTGACACAAAAATATACATTTTCAAGGTGGTCTCCAGTAGGCGCGCGTGGGCTCTCATGGAGTCGGTTTCTCAGTCTCCGGTGGGCTCGAGTGGTAACGTGTGAAGGTCGCGGCAGCGCGTGGTGGTGGTAGCTCACGCGTCTCAGATGGGTTATTTTCTCTTCTTGTCCTTATTCAGGACAGTCTCCGGTGGTTACGGGTTAATCTTTGTTGTGCCCTGAGTACTCCACGCTTCACTTCTCTCAAATAAGGTATTGCGGCTCTTGGATGAGCTTGTTTAGCGTTTTGGACTTTGTTCTGGTTGTTTGTGCAGTTGTTGGTCTAGCGAGGCTCTTTCTCTTGCGGTTGAGCTTTCGGAGGGTTAGCCACTTTTCGGTCTGCTATCTCTATATGGGGTTTTGGTTCAATGGGTGTAAACGGTCACGGCGAGTTGGACTGGAAGCAGCAATCTCTGGGACGGCTCGTCGTTCGTCGGCATCGTCGCTCAAGGGTTCTCTCTCGTGCCATCGGAGGTTTACTTGTCGGGTGTTCTGCGTTTTGTTCAAGCTTTGATTCTTCATTTGGGTCTGATTTTGGCAGAGCAGTCAGAAGTTGTAGGAGCCATTGTTTCAAGGTTTGAGAGCGCCTTTCTCTCGGTAGCTCGTGGTGCTTGGCTCCCGACTATTCTTTGTAAGGTCTAAGCTTGACTCGTAGCTTTTCAGCCTCTTTGTCTTTGTCCTGCTTTCTTCGGGTTTATTTCCATGTCATTTAGGATCTGATGTTTAGTTTTAATTTGGCATTCTGCTACTTGTTTTCTTTGTAATCTCTGTCTCAAACTTAAAAATTGGTATAATAATTTAACATTTTACCAAAAAAAGGTGTAATTATTTGGTGATAAACGTAAACGTGAGTATTGAGATGCGAAGTGTCATTATTAGGTGATAAACATAAACGTAACTATCATAAGGTTAGCTTCAACCTAACACTTAAATTCTATTTTAGTGTGATTTTTACACTAAAACTTCTTCAACCGACCTGTAAAAATCACACCATTTTAATGTAATGCTATAATTTCACACCAAATTTGGTATGATACTATTCACAATACTATAATATTATTCATCTCACTAATATACTATTCACTTATTTTATTAATAAAATATGTAATTAAAATAAATGAAAAATACGAAAATAAATACATATAATAATACAAAATAGTTTAGTGTGAAATTTAGTATTATGGTTGGAGAAGAATTTATTTTTAGAGTTGAAACTACATTAAAATAGTGTGATTTTGCTACCAAAATAGTGTTATTGGTTGGATATATATATATATATTTTTTCACTTTTATGTATCACCAACATTGAGTTGAGTTAGTAGTAAATGGGTTGCAGTTGTAATTTTTGCTATTTGAAATCAATTTGCGGTGAAATGGAATGAACTATTTATAATAGTTGAATTTTCTATAAAGAGGTGAAATCATTTTTTTTAAACTCATTGTTAAGAAAGAGAGACGAGGACCAATTCCCGTATTTGTCTAGTTGTACCAAAAAAAATTATTAGTCTAGTGCAAGGTCCAAGCTAGCATGAAAATCCGAATTTTTCAGTTCAAAAAACTTGATTAATTACAAAAGTTTATTGATAAGTACTCATTATCTGACAGGGTACAGACTTACATATGTATTCTTGAAACTCTAAGATTCAGTTGTCATGCAGGAAATTTTGAATATATGATAATTTCAAATCCAAATGAATTATCCGTAAGTCAGCTAAACATATTACATTGGCTGTATCATTTTTGAGAAATGAAAAAAATATGTGAGATTTATTTTAAAAAATATGTGGCTCGATCAGGACTGGATCTGGACACAATTTTGTGAAACATTATTAAGTTTGGTCTCCAAATTTTTTAGTGTTATAAGTATAGGTTCCCAAAATTATGAAAAAAATATTACGAAAATTCTTAAGAGTATTTGATGTGTGTTTGTACCAAAAAAAATTATGACCTGTTTATAACCTCCGAAATCATGCACTCGATTGATAAAAAATGTTAAGAGTATTTGATGTGTGTCACAATGATTAACTTGCTAAAGGCAAAGTTGATAGACCTATTAAAGTGAGACCGCACGAGTGTTGTCATAAAGAGGAAAGACACGAGACAAAAATATAAAATTTAAGGGTAAGATTCATCGAATTTAGCCAACAGCTTGATATATATCAAATGAGGACTTACTATTATGAATCGTTGCAGTGCTTGAAATCATGTCAGGTAGTACTAAAGTTCCCAATCATTTATATTTGTGTAACTGCAAAATTACCTAACTAAAATAAAAGTACTCCGTAACTTTACAGATCATATATCATTGTCATTGATGACACTAAATACAATTTTTTTTTGTAAACTCAGTTTATTCATTTATCCTATATTGAACTTAGGTAGGTGTCTATATTTTTGTTTGATTGTAACGGTATCTTATCAAAAATTTGTCGAAATTTTGAACGTAATAATTATTCACTACAAAAGACTCGTTGCAGAATGAAAAACGTATTCAGAAATCAAAATAGCTTTTATATGGTTAAAAATGGTGATTTAGTTTTACTCAGCAGTAATTCTACTTAGTTATACGCGGTCAATGAATATTTTGAATATCAAAGAAAATGTGGAGTATGTTCTCCATCGAATCGGTTATTATAAATGATTCCTCCACAAATTATAAAAAATGATTCCTCCACCTTTTACACAAGGGTAATTTTCTGAAATAGTTTTTTTTTTTTAAAAAATTTATAAAAAAAAATAAACCTCAAAAATTAAAATGATTAAAATAATATTTTTTATTTTGAAAATTTGAAATTTTTTTTTATTTTTTTAAATTTGAAACCCTATCCCCAAAACTCAATTTCTCAACTCTAAACAAAAAGTTTAGGATTAATTAACCCAAAAGGTATAAATGTATATTTAATAAAACATTTAAGTGTTATTTTAATTATTTTAATTGTTAAGATCTATATTTGTGACAAAAAAAATTTTAGGTCTATTTTCGTCATTTTCTCTTTACACAATTGTATAGCACATCTAATTTTCTTATTTTGTAATAATTATATTTCAGAGTTTAGGCAATTTTTTTTTGGTTGAACCTTCTGTTCAACATGTATATTTTTTTTTGTCAACAGTCCAGTCTGTATTACGTACAGAAGATAATAAACAGTTGTTTTTGTATTGCTTTACAAAAAAGCTCTTTCCCCTTAGAGTTTGAATTTTTGTAGGTCATCATTCCTTCAAGTTCTTTTTTTTTTTAACTCAAACCTTCCATTTTATAATAAGAAAAACATTCCAAGCGCCTAATTATTAAACATTACTTTATTCTATATTTTAGTTCAATATGATAAACTGGCCGCAATTGCAACTACAAAGCTGAAAAGTTATCGACAAATTTCACATGTTGTCTTTGTCATCATTTATCTCAAGCATGCGTTGGTCTTTCATTTACGTTACCATTATTTTCCATTTATTTTGATTTGTGAGGATTTAGGACTATCATTAATCATTATCATTAATTATCATGCTGGAAATATGAAACGAGGGAGAATAAGTTTCTGAAAAACTAATAATTTATGCAAAGTTACAACATTATCTATTATCTTCCGGAAGTGATTAATTAAATTAGAAATGGTAAAAAAAAAACACAAACTTTATACGAATTGCCCAAAGAAACATGTATTCGAGTCTTTATTTTTCTTTATTTTTTAGTTTATTAAGCAATTTAAAATTGACTGGCCATATTATTAACATACAGTTAAGACAATGTTAACTAGACGTTAAATATTAGCGTTAAGTGAAACGACATCGTTTTCAAATGAGATGAAACGACGTTGTTTTACATGATCTGAAAATAAAAATAAATATACCCCTGGATTCAAACTCAAGCTGGTTAGGTCAAATAGCAAAGTATTTTACCCTTGGGCTAATGAACCTCTCAATGGAGTCTTAACACATTTAATTTTATTTGGTACTGATTGAATATAAAAAAATCTCTAAAAACTTAAAAAGATCTTTAAAATTCCAAAAATTGAAAAATAAAGATTTTTAAAAAAAATAATTTTGAAATTAAAATCAAAAATAAAATTTTAGTTTTCTTTAAAAAATAAAAAATCTTCCAAAATTTTCATTTTTTTTTTAAAAAATGCCAAAACATTTAAAAATTTAAAGAAAATGCAAAAAATTAAAGTTACAATTATCAGCTAAAAAATAAAACTGCACTCAATTTTTAGCAATTGTTATTTTTAAATGAGAATTTTGGAAGATTTTTTGATTTTTTAAAGAAAAAAATAAAATTTATTTCTAATTTTAATTTCAAAATTTATTTTATAAAAAATTCTTTATTTATTCAATTTTTGGAATTTTGGAGATCTTTTCAATTTTTAGAGATTTTTTATATTCAATCAGTGCTAAATAAAATTAAATGTGTTAGTAACTTAATTGAAAGTGTAGCTAGTGGTAAGATACCTTTCCATTTGACCCAACCAACATGAGTTTCAAATCAAGGAGTCTACTTGTTTTTATTTTCAAGTCATGTAAAACGACTTCATTTCATCTCATTTGAAAACAACGTCATTTCATCTCATTTGAAAACGACGTCGTCAAGTTTTTCCTGTTAAATTACTGACGACGTGCTAAATTGGCAAGTCAACAAAAAAATAGTTAATTAATTCTAAAGTCAATGAAAGTTCTGTGTTTTTTTTTGTCAACCCAAAAGTTCATGTCTCTTTTGGCAATTCGTGCAAAGTTGAAGTTTTTTGGCCGAATTCCCTTAATTAAATTGAAAAGTTTCTTTTTTTTTTGGTTTTAAGGTAAAAATTTAGATAACTAGAGTTTTCAGCACATTTTTCCGCCAAGACTTCTCGACGATGTCGTCAAAGGATTACTAATGGAGATGGAGGCTCCAGCAGGTCAGGCTACGTTGTAAGGCAGCTCTCAGCAAATAACTCCGGCACTCAGATTAATCTCGGAGTCCAAACAGTTCAGAATTAAATGGATTTGAAGAAGTACAATGTTGATGTCAAAATGAAACATGGATTAGGGTCGGTAAACATTTCAATGGAGATTTTAAATATTCCTCCACTATGGGATAAATTTCTCATATGATGTTTTTAACTAGTGCATCGCTAAACTATGTAGGCTGCACGAACCCGCTCCCACAACTTGCAATGAGACACAATCCACAACGAGATGCTCTTCATCCACAACAGGTACACTAACCCGCTTTGTCTAGCCATTGTGACACTTATCAGATTTTTGATTAAGTGCAACTTCGTCCTGATTTTTGTTGAAGTCTCAAAGTGGCTGCACTAACCCATTGCAGGTGCCCGCTGAAATGGTTGCATGATCTCAAGGGGTACATAAAACCGCTGCAAAAAGCCGCTATGATTCTTAACCATTGTTTGATCTCTTTATCAATAGCTTCTTTGCAACATGATTGATATACCTCTAGTAAATCGATCTTCCTTAAATACATCTCCAAATGACTCGAAACCACCTCCATTGGAAATCTAACTGAATTCCCTATGTCGTATCAAAATATAAGAATCAGAAGCTATCTGTAAGACCTTCATCCATGTTGATAGATCAATCCTTGTGGCTTAATCTCCTTTAAGAACAATTGAGCTGTTCTAAAACCTAAAAATACAAAAATGCACATGCAA